AGTCCCTCAGTGAATTGGAGACACAAAAACTAGAAATTAAATGGCCTCATTCACATAATGATGCTCTACTAGGATGGATGATTGGATGGATGGATGGATGGATGGATGGATGGATGGATGGATGAATAGGTGTAAATCTCCAAAAAGTATTTCAAACCCTTTTTTAAAAAGATTAATCTTTACAATAAGCCAAACAAGCAGTAATGAACTGCGTATGTTTTTATATATTTAATGTATAATATATAAGTAACTTAAAACATTCCCCATTAATGACATTTTTGGTAGGAATGTGTGTTATTGAAAAATGCTTGTCTGAACTTTTTCTAAACTTGCAGGAATTTCTTCAGTGACTCATTTATCCCTCACATTCACTTAGCACCTTACTTTTTAAGGGGTTCCCATACTTAAAATGAAGTTATTTCTGATAGAAAGAAACCACGGCACCTTCTAATTGTGCACAATCCCTACACATCCTCTATGACTAGGATATTTAGCATATTTCTCAAGTGAAGAAAGATGAGGCCTCCAAACAAGATCTGTGAATTCAGTCTGTTCATGCAGCAGTAGTAAGAGAGATAGAAACTTCTTGACTAATATGCTTTTTCTCCCCTTTACTGATGCCAACAAAAATGGTACTGGGTTTTTCCCAGACAGTTAAGGAGCCATTTCTTCCAGGCTCCCTCCTTCTGTCTTTCCTCTAATACAAATAATAGATATGTCCCCACATCTCTATTTGGAAGGCAATAGAGATGACATGGAAGGTAACAGATGAGCACTTAACAACACATGATATTACTAACTTGTCTACAGGGAATAATCACATGTAAACTGGATTGGTTTAGAAATACCCTGTTGCATGCCTTTGCTTTACCAGTGATAAGCTGTAATATGCTTAAAAACCCCTAAAGATTCAAAAACTTTCATAAATTTAGTTAACTGGAAATTAAGTTAAACAACAAAGTGCAGTGGGAAATCATGTGCCACACAGTACCATTCCAACATATCCACTGCAACTACGTTTGTCTGAAAACTTAACTGCTCTGAAATGCTATGTTGTAGCAACATGCCAATCAACCATGGAAATTTTCTTAAATCTGGAATATGGAAAAAGTAAATTTACAAATACATCCCTCTTTAGCATATCATTTATTACATTTTAGGATGTCTAAACAAACAAAAAAAATCTCCCATAACAACATACTAAGAATGAAAAATACATGTGATATCTGCATTTATTTCTTCATAGCGCTTCCATCCAAAACCATTACTTCTGTGAATTAAAAATAAGTATTTTTATTTTCTAATTTTATGAATGTCTCTATATTATTAAGTCCAAGTTGTACTAATTCTATATCTTTTTTAATCCTAAAAAAAGTAACAAAAACTAAAGCGAATAGATAGAAACATGATGTGCTTTATTTTTATTTTATTATTTTTTAATATATTTTATTGATTTTTCACAGAGAGGAAGAGAGAGGGATAGAGAGTTAGAAACATCGATGAGAGAGAATCATCGACCAGCTGCCTCTTGCACACCCCTACTGGGATGTGCTCGCAACCAAGGTGCATGCCCCTGACCGGAATCGAACCCAGGACCTTTCAGTCCACAGGCTGACGCTCTATCCACTGAGCCAAACCGGTGCCGGCTATTTTTTATTTTTTTTAAACAAAGTTTTATTTTTTTTAAAAAAATATATATTTTATTGATTTTTTTTTTTTTACAAAGAGGAAGAGAGAGGGATAGAGAGGTAGAAACATCGATCAGCTTCCTCTTGCACACCCCCTACTGGGGATAAGCCGGCAACTAAGGTAGGTACATGCCCTTGACCGGAATTGAACCCAGGACCTTTCAGTCCGCAGGCTGCCGCTCTATCCACTGAGCCAAACCGGTTTCGGCTGATGTGTGCTTTAAATTGAGCATAAACTGGAAAAAAAATGAGGAAACTAAACTCAAATATTCATTTTGAAAGGTAATTTTACCCATGAAAATTACTAAGTATCTACAAATTTACCAATAAAAACAGCCACAAAAGCCTAGTGAAAGACCCTTATGAAATTTAACTTCCTATCAAACTAAATTTTGATATTAAGAAAAACCCCCCCACACACACACACACACACACACATACACACACAAAAAAACAATGCTATCCAGAGTGAAAACATTTTAGGGAGCTTTAAAAAACAACATACAACTAACTATAATATTAAAACCTGTCACCTTCTACCCCCAAGACATAAAATATACATTTAAAACTTATTCAGTGGATAAAGTGTTGACCTGTGGACTGAAGGGTCCCGTGTTCGATTCTGGTCAAGGGCACATGCCTGAGTTGTGGGCTCGGTCCCCAGTGTGGGGTGTGCAAAAGGTGGCCAATCAATGATTCTCTCTCATCATTGATGCTTCTATCTTTCTCTCCCTTTCCCTTCCTCTCTGAAATCAATAAAAATAAGTTTAAAATTTTTTTAATACATTTAATACTTTTAAAATGATCTCTACCAACGAACAAAATCAGAGCTTGCATGAAACGTTGTTACACACACACACACACACACACACACACACACACACGCACGGCTTCTTAAACATTAAATAGCATAGAGGTAAAGAATTTTTAAACACTGACATTTTTCTTTTTCTTTTTTTCCGGCCTTTTCCAAATATGGTCAGTTTTACTAAATCAATTTCACTATTTCTCACCTTTATCACACTCCATCTCCATTTCTGTACTCCAAAACTTTTTACTGTAGAAAAAGTATGATGCACATCCAGGAGGCCCACATTCTTCAACAAAACTTCAAGCACATCAATAAGTCATTTTCACTTTTACTAGACCTCACTGCCCTGGCCGTTTGGCTCAGTGGATGGAGCATGGGCCTGGGGACCTAAGGGTACCTCAGTTGCAGGCTCAATCCCCAGCCCTGATCCAAGCTTTTGTGGGAGGCAACCAATAATGTGTCTCTGTCACATCAATGTTTCCCTCTCTGTGTCTCTCTCCCCTTCCCTTCCACTCTCTCTAAAAATCAATGGAAAAATATCCTTAGATGAGGGTTAACAGAACAACAACAAAACTTGACCATCACTAATGTACAACTCAGACGCCCTTGGTGTACATTTACTCAACCCTGTACTGTACTCACGTCCTCATCTTCAGAAAGCAAATACCACTTCAGACACCAAAATTCCCCTACGCCTGCCTCCCTTACACATCCTGCCTTCACAAGGCTGACACATTGGACTACAGAGGACTCTTCCTAGGTGTTCCAACCTCACCTCAAGAAACCAAAGCAGCAAAGCAACAGAGGTGAGTTAACAAGATTTCTCAGGAGGGCCAAAAAACAAACCGGGAAGCAGCTTTCTCAATAGCGCGGACTCTACCCTGTCCCCACACTTCCCAAACTATACCCCTCTCTCCCACCTCTGAAAAACTCAATTTTTCCACTTAAAATGACGGGACTCAATGAAGCGAAGCCTGCCCGTCGCTTCCTCCACCCCCTTTCATTCAGCCACAAAGTCCTCACCTTCAATAGGAAGAAGATAAGCAGTCCATGCCTTCTTTCCCAAGAGGGTGAATGGAAGATAGCATTCCTCTCCAATCCTCCCCTTCTGCTTTCCCTCGAGGAGATGTGTTTCAGAGGCCAGCTATGAAAGTAAACCTCTGTGGCTCAATGGATAGAGCGTCGGCTTGGGGACTGAAGGGTCCCGGGTTCGATTCCGGTCAAGGGCATGTACCTTGGTTGCGGGCATATCCCCAATGGGGGGTGTGCAAGAGGCAGCTGATCGATGACTCTCTCTCATCGATGTTTCTAACTCTCTCTCTCTCTCCCTTCCTCTCTGTACAAAATCAATAAAATATATTAAAAAAAAAAAAGAAAGGAAACCTCTGTGTCCCAAATACACACACTCCTACCCCTTCAAAATGGTTACAAAACCAACCAAAACTTGATATCTCTTGCTCTCCCTTTCATGGGTCCCAAAGACTACCCACAATATTTATTATCTTGAAACAAGCCCCTCATTCTTTTCAGCACCTCCACAACAATCCTCCTCAGGATCTTCAGTTGCCCTCTCGATCTTTCAACAATATTTCCAAATCTCCCATTCTTTCTACTGCCCCTCCCGTGCCTCCAGTACCCCGTATCCAAAAAACCGCGAGATGCTGCAGGTACACCCCCCTTCCAGCCCCTCCTCCGAGCTAGGTGGCAGGGCAGCCCTTACAAATCCCAATCAAACGTCTAAACCTCAATTCCCCCCTCCCCAAGCCCCAAGGATATCTACACATCATCCATTCTCCTAGTGCTATCAACTCATCAATAATATCTGAAACCCCCCAAACCCTTTTATCAGCTCCCCAATAATTGCCCCCCAATACTCCCACGCCTACAGTTCCCTTTCAACTACCCCATGTTTTCCAAATACTTTCTTAATCCTGAACTCTTAAGAGACTATCGATAATCTCTAATAAATCCCTCCCCGCCCCTCCCCTCCTTCTCTGCCCTGTTTTGGGAAAAAAAAAAAAAAAAAAAAAAAAAAAAGAGGGCCTCCCCGATCCTCGCTGCTCCCAGGTCTTCCAGTCCCGGAACAACATTGTTTTTGTAAAGCCCTGGGTACCCTGCTCTTCCCTTCAAGATGCCACTCTCCACACTTAAAAATCCCTCGACAGCCCTGCTGCGCCTCGCAGCTCTCCGACAGCAATATCCCCCGTTTCTCTCGCGGTTCCTGCTGCCCCGGGAGCACCCCAAGACTTTAGGACTGCACAAGCCCTCGCCCCACTTACCATCAGGCCCCACAGCCACCCGGCGTCCGTGCCCCCGGCTCTCCCTCCGCTTCCCCCCCCGCCCCCCGCCATGGGGATAGTACCACAGAGGAGACGCCGGGACCTGCCGGCAGCGGCCCCTCCGCGGCGCCCCCCGCCCGCCGCCTCCCTTCCCCGCCCCCCGCGCCCCGCGGGCCCCCAACGCCCACGTTCGCCGGCCCCGGCCCAGCCGGGCTCACTCACATCGGCTCCAGTAACTTGGCCAGCCAGGACTTGAGGGCATCCACATCCTCTATGAGCATGGTGCAGGGAAGGCGGGCTCGGCCGCCGCTCTCGTGTGGGCCTGCCGCGGTCTCCCCCTCGTCGCCGCCCTCACGCCTTCTTCACAGCCCCCGGGGCCCCAGCCCACCGGGCATCTTCAGAGACTTGAACCTACTCCCCCGGCCGGGGCCTAACAGGAACTAACCCAAGAGCCCTCACTCAACCTACCCCAACGGCTCGGGAGGGCGGGCGTCAGCGGCCGAGTGGCGGGAGCGGGAGCCAATAAGAGAGAGAGGGCCGCGCACGCAAAGCCAATGAGGAGGCTCGCTCGCCCCGCCGGCCAGTCGTACCCAGTTAAGGATGGATGTAGCAAGGTAGGTGGAGAGCTTACGTGAACTCCTGGTGCAAGATGGTATCTTGGAGAAGGTGCTGTGCCTCTTAAAGGGGCCGTGGCGCCTTTTTTTTTTTTTTTTTTTTTTTTTGACCACGCCGCTGCCCGCTCGGGGATACCGGTGTCTGCTGCTGGGAGTGCCTGGGGGAACCCGGAGAGCCCCTCAGCCTGGTTCCTTCCTCTCCTTTTTCCTGGAAACACACACTAGTGTCCCGAAATGACTCAGCTGTAGTAAATCTGCACCACGGCAAGCAACGCGTTCACATTGCAAGGAATGCAAAATTTTACCTTTCCCCCTTACGCTCCTTATGCTCGGCATACGTGCTTGCAGTTTTTGCCGCTCTGCTTAAATTACGAAGAATGTCCTGACAGCCATGCCGTGGATTCCAATAATCGTCATTTTAAAAACGTGGCGCACGGATGTAGAAGGCTGAGGCCATTTCAATCTTAACCGTTTTTGTGTGTGTGTGTGTGTGTGTGTGTGTGTGTGTGTGTTTAAATATATATAAATGCTTTATTTAGGCATAAAAACTATATGAATTTTTTTTAATTCTCTTTTCATTGCATGCCTAAAATTCAGTGGGGTTTTTTTTGTTTTTTTTTTGTTTGTTTTTTGTTTGTTTATTTGTTTTCAGGGAGAATTTTGGTCAGCAAACAAGATTTTTAAATTTTTTTAAAAATCTGTATTACCGAAGTAGGCAACTAATTTGCACTAGCTGAGAAATTCGTTATGGAATTTTTAAATTGGCTTGGCACTGGTATTAAAATGTTTATTAAACAACAAATACGGAGCACCTGCTATATGCTTGCACTGTGTAAGACACTAGGATTCTAATTGTGAACAAAACAGAGTCCCTCTTCTTAAGAAGCTGGGCAGTTTATGGGATTATGCATTACATTAATGACATTTTGAAAAATACCTGATGAGCACTCACCTCATATCAAAGAGATGGGTTAACCCAAAATAAGTAGGTAAACTAAACTAAATATGCATTGAGCAGGTATAGGCAAATGTTTTCTGTAAAGGTCTAGATAGTAAATATTTTTGGTTTTGTGGGCCTTAGGTCTCTGGCAACTACTCAATTCTGCCCTCTTGGCATGAAACAGGCCATAGGTAAGATGTAAACAAAGGATTATGGCTATATACCAATAAAACTTATATGAAAATTTCAATTTTAGATAATTTTCATGTGTCACAACATATTATTTTCTTGACTTGTTTTACTTCAACCATTTAAAAGTGTATAAGCCACGTTCACTTCACAGGTGTACAGAAACAGGTGCCAACAGGATTTGGCTTACTGGCTTCAATTTGTTCACCTCCTTATATAAGGTAATAAAAAGCAAAATGCACTTAGAAATTATCTAATAAACCATCTTCACTGACCTCTCTCCAACTTTGCAAATAAGGGAAAAGCACCAGGAAGCTTAGTGGTTCACCCAGAATCACACATGTCTGCAGGTGGAGCAGAGTAGCATCCAGATCTTCTGACAACAAGCCCAGAGCTCTCTCACATCCAACTCTTGCCTCTTCTTCCCTTTTTCCTCCTCCCCTTCTTCCTTTATGCTTACCTACATTTCCCCCTTTAGTTATTTCCCCCCTTACTTATTTCCCCCCCCTTACTTATTTCCCCTTAAGGAGATACAGTCTTATGTCAAAGTGACACAAATTTAAAAGAGAGAAATGTACAAGTGATTTGATTAGGCCTAAGGCTAGACAGGAACTTGATAGTATGATAGAAATGGAACAGGAATTGCCTTTATCACAATAAATCACTCCTCTGCAAGAATTTCAAAGTACTTTTCAAATGTATTTATAGAGCAAATTTTGTAGGGCCTTATTTTAGAGTCGAGGTTGCTGAGACACTAGCTTCTATCATGCAGGGCATCATTTAACCAAGAACAGAGATTAGAACAGACATGACCACAATAATATTTGTGTTTGGGGACCGGAATAATCTTTTTTTCCCCCTTTATTTTTCCAATTGTGATGTTATTATGTTATTTTTCTAGAGTGACTACATTATATACATATTAGGGCTACTGCTTTGAATGTAAATATTGAATCACAACTACATCTTTTAAAAGTAGCATTTGTAGAAGAGTTGCTTTTCTACTTCTGGAAAAGCAATATGGTCAATCTCACTCCCATGCCTGGCTCATTTCATTTGCTAAATAGCTGTTCAAATTTGGTCAGTAGCCATGGCCCAGAATTTCCCATATACTTTATTCAATAGTATTCATCCTATGCACAGAACTGACTCATTTGCAACCCATGAATGAATGAGGCATTGATTTCAGCCATACAAATGCAATGTGCACGCACACACACATATATATAAATTCAATACACTGGTATTGAGTGATGGTTACCATGTACCTGATTCTGTGCTCCTGGGGCAGAGACAAAAGTTTGAACAGTTGTAGTTGCATCCATTTACTGTCTCTTGAGAGCTCAGGTTCTGGTGATTTAATAGGCACTAGAAATAATAATCATAGCCAAAATTGTTGAGTACATGCCCTCTGCTAATATTTTAGTGTATTACTGCCTATTTTCCTCACAGTACTTCTGGGTAGTGAACAATATTTACAGACAAGAAAAGTGCATTCCAGAAAGATCATGAAGCTGATGAGTGGCAAGGCGCAGCTTTGACCATGTGTGTTTGACTCCCAAGCCCATACCTATAACCTTCAATTAACTACCTATCAAACAATGAAATATGAAATATGTGGTTTATTCAAGAGTCATTCAACAAGTATGTACCATCTATTAGGCTCTTTCCTTGAATATAGAGAGTAAGACTGATTTTAAACAAGTATCCTTTCCTTAATTAAAATTATAAAATAGATATTTAGTGATTTTCCTCCTCAGTTTTATCTTCACTGGAGGAGAGAGAAAGAAATCCATCTATTTAGGAAAAGAGAAATTCTTAATATGGGGCATTGAAAAGAGAGAGTGACCACAGAAGAGCAGACATCTAAACCAGCTTTATTCAGGCAAGTTCCCTTTCTTGGCTTGAGAATAACTGGGCCTCAAATCAGAAAAAACTGTCAACAATGAGCTTTCACACAAGGACTGACAGGGTTAGATAGGCCTTCCAGGATTAGAGTAGGTCATGCCCACAAATTGTTTTGTTTTGTTTGTCGTTATTTTCTACCCTGTGGCCAGAGCTGTCCCCGGTGTACAATAAAAAGAGGTTGCAAGTCATTTTGCAATTTTCTCTGTGAAATTTACAATCACAGTGTGCTTCCCTTACATGCAATTAAACTAAGCTTCAGTAGAATTACAACGTAGGAAGCTCATACTTAGAAACAGGCCCTCTTTTGCCTGTACACTTATAGATGATCATTTAATTAAACAATATAATGATCAAATATCAGTCTCTCCTGAGTCTCGGTCTCCTGGAGCAGTCCAGCTGGCTCAGAGAAAAGTTACCTCAATAAAAGTCATTTGCATCTTAGTTATACAAAGACAAGGTGAGTTGGCCTACAAATGAGTCAACCAGATAGTCTCTCTTTGTTATGAAAAAGTAGATTTGTTTTCCTAAGAGAACTATATTGTAAGATTTTTTTCTTAATTGCTTCACACCATGTAACTATAAAAATAGCTAATATTTTTTAAAACTGACAACACTGAATGCTGATAAAGATGTAAAGAAACAGGATGATGCATGCTTTGTCGGTGTAATGTAAAATAGTGTATAGTCGCTCTGAAAAACAATTTGTTTTTTGGTATTTTCTCTAAACACTAAACCTGCAACTACCATATGACCCAACAATTACTCTCCTGGGCATTTATCCCAGAGAAATGAAAACTTACATTCACACACAAAAATCTGTACTTGAATGTTTATAGCAGCTTTATTTAGAATAGCCAAAAATTGGAATCAGCCCAGATGTCCTTAAACCGGTGAGTGGTTAAACAAACTGCGATACATATGTAGCATAGCATGCTGCACAGCCATAAAAAGGAAAGGACTATTGATACATGCAACAATTTAGATGAATTAGGCTGAGTGAAGAGAAAAGCCAACTCCCAAAGGTTACATATTGTATACGTGCATATATCCATTTAGGTAACATTTTGAAAGTGATATTTTAGGAACAGAGGAGGGAGATGGGGAGTGTGGAGGGAAAGTGGGTGTGGTTATTAAAGGGCAACATGAAGGATCCTCGTGCTGTTGGAACAGTTCTGTATCTTGGCTGTGCTGGTGGATACAGGAACAAAAGCGGTGATAAAATTTTATATATATATATATATATATATATATATATATATATGAGACATATTACAAGTATTAATACAAACAAATACAAGTACAACTTGTATCCAGATCTGTATTCTGACTATGATATTATACTATAGTTTTGCAAAAGTTAACAATTAGGGAAGTTGAGAAAAGGGTGCATTATTTCTGCATTATTTCTTACAACTGCATATGACTACAAGTATGTCCTTTTTTTTTTTTTTTTTTTTAAAGAAAAGTTGCTTCACCCAGAGTAGTGTCAACAGGAAGAAAGGTTCAAAGTGGCATCTCTGGGTGTGCGCATAGAGAAAACAGTCCTTGCCCCATTCACCAAGGACTTTATGGGTTCCTGCCCAACCTGTGTGGGGACCCAGATCTGACATCCTTACAGATCAGAAAAGCA